AAGCGGGACCCCACGCGAAAAAAAAAAAACTTGCAGATATTATTTTAATTTACCTATACTTATTATGTTTAGAGTTTGACAGTTACAGTTTTACATTTTCTCTGCATCCACCGATCGTTTCTATGGCAGCTATATGATATAGTTGTCCGATTTTCAAGTTATAATTGGCTCGGCTGTTGATGCTGATCAAGAATATATATACTTTATAGGGTCGGAAAGGTCTCCTTCACTGCGTTGCAATCTTTTGACTAAAATAACACCCTGCAAGCGTATAAAAATAAATTTAACAAAATAAATAAATAAAAAAATAAATAAAAAAATGAATAAATAAATACAACAAAATGTTTTCAAATAAAAGTGAAATGAAGGACGCATCCAAAATGGAAATTTATCAACTTGTGTGCAGAATAAACAATTTCTTGAAATTTTTAAACGAAAAATATAACATTTTCAGCGAGGAAGATTCATTAAAATATTTCAATAGGAGGATGGCTGATACTCCACTGGTTTCTAATGAACATAGACAACATTTCTCATCTTGTTGCTGGGCTAAAAATGATGTTGACCATGGTTGATATATGTGCATGTCATTTCAGTCCTATGTTAGAATGTCGCTTTAATTATTAACAAAAATAAAATTATACTATATTCACAAAACTAAACTATATTCAATATTTTACATTGGGAATTGGGAAATGGGGATTCTTTTCAGATTTTTCGTTTTCAGGTATTGGAAATTAACCTACTATTAAGGGATGAGACGATGAATCCTTTTAACCCTTAATTGGAGAAATGTGCTTGAAAAATACGTCTCGCCAGTTAATTTCCTTTTCTTCATTTCAAAATGACTTTTGAGAACCGGTGGTATACGATCGCACGGTCCTTTGTTTATCACTCCAAGGAAATGTGATTGACACTAAATCAGTGCTGCCAACTTTTGCCCAGCAAAAAAAGCTGTTTTTGACGGGAAGAATTCAGAATAAAGCTAAAAAAATATTTAAAAAAATCCAATAAAAAGCTAAAGAAAAATGTATAAAAAAAAAAAAACGAAAAATGTCAAATAAATAACAATTTATTAAGGTAATTTTTGCTTAAGATATTTCCATAAACTTATTAATATCTTCTTGGTCGTCCTCATTTGCGTATGACATATTAGTACCTATCATGCGCAGATATTTTACAGGCACTTCATAGTCGACGCACCAATACTTCGCAATCCTTTTCTGTATATTAAAATAGAAAATGAATATATATCTTTTGCTTGTAAATAAAACTTTACGTTTTCCTTAAAATTTTGTTAGACGTGCTGAGGCCTATCGAATTCCTTAATTTGGATTTAATTACATAGGTTAACCTGACTAAAAACGCTTTCTATTTCCGTGTTTGACCAGGGCAAACATAATATTTGGATGGCCACAGTTGCAAACTCAAAAAATCTTCGGTTACCACCAGAATCTTTAAACTGGAGCACATTAAACCAAAATTTGTTTGTCTAGCTGATGTTTTCCCACTTTATCAAATTGACGTTATTGTATTGGCGTTCAATTTCTGCATTATTCCTCCATTCCAGGAACTCTACAATTTCTGTGATGCTGAAACTTTTGCATATTTTGTATTTAAGAGTTAACAACACAAAAAAGTCGGCAAAAAGCCAACTTAATTTCTAAAAAAGCCAGAATTCCCGCTTTTCACAATTCCCGCAATTCACAAATTTTTCCCGCAGTTAGTCTTCAAAAAAAGCCAGTTTTGACGGGAAAAAATCCAAATTGGCAGTACTGCACTAAATGGTCAACGTGCGAAGCCAGCCTTCATTGACTTTCCCTTTCTTTATGAAATGTATTTTTAGAACGGGTGGTATTCCAATGCACGTTCCTTTTTGTCACTCCACTTAAATGCACAAATTATTATAATTCTCAACTTTTTGGAGTTATATGCTGGAACTTTGCAACTGAATTACGGTCTTTTTTATACAATTTAAAGATTTTTCACGTATTTCTCTTTTCGTTCCCTTCTTTACATAATAAATAAAAAAAGGAAATTAAAACACATTTTCAGAGTTATATATCTTATTCGCTTTTTTAAGCTGTTTTGTTTTTATAAACCCACCGTACTTGAGCTCACATGCACACAAAACCCACATACATTTAAGCATTGTGTGCGCAATTACCGAAATCTAAAAATAGAACAGGCTTTCTTGCTCTTTCCCCTCTCCAACAAGCGTACGGCATGTAAAGCATTTAAGACGCGGTCTCTATAGTTCTTTAATCTTTGATTATAATATGATCATTATATACATAGGGTAAGGTGGGGTAAAGCCGACCTAGTAAATGATTTGGCTATAAAATGCTTATTTTACATCGGATCAAGTCATTATACATACCAAATTAAAGGTTAGACTTTTGCGCAACTTTCTTTGCATAGCATTTTATTCATCATTTGAAAAGTTTTGAGATACAAGCGTTTTACGAAAAAGTTCGTTTTTTTGCTATTTTCAAAAATGATGGGGTAAATCCGACCGCCTATGTTTTTGGTTGATTTAGTACAGATATAACGTAAATATAGGTTTTGAAATGATAAATCAATCTATGTGATATATTTTATAATGGTAATAAAAGATAATAAAATCAAAAAAATCAAAATAGCACAATAATTAATCAGTATCATCTGATTCGCTGCTCAAATAGCTTGCTGGCGTTTTTTGGTTCGAGTTGAACGTCTGGTTTGCTGTGATGTTCATGGTTTTGGTGTGATTGTTGTTTTTTTGGCTTTTTTTGCGGCAGGATTTACCCCACTATTTAGAGGTCGGATTTGCCCCACCACGTAATTTTTCATAAAAACGCAATAAAAAAAGAAATTATGAAAAAAAAATGAACTGAAAAAAATAAATGAAATGAACCAAACTTATATGCACTTTGTAGGACTTTATTCAAAGAATCTAAATCCACGAACCTTTTCATGCGATAACTTTGACAAAAAGAAATATCCTGCAGTTAATTATGCACAAAAATGAAAGTCAAAATTGTGAAAACAAACTTGTTGTCTTTTGACCATCTCAATGTTGACTAATAAAATGCTGTCATACCATCATTTTCATTGTTTTCGATGCTCTACACGACAACACTAATATAAGTTTGCGTAGTGCTTCCGATTTTCGAAAACAGAGGAAGGTCGGGCTTACCCACACTGTCGGCTTTACCCCACCTTACCCTATGCATAAGTCAAGACCGTTTTATAAGTTGATGTACAGCCGATTGAATGTAATGTATGTACGGTTCAAAGAAGTGTTCGACGGGTCCAAAGAAATTGTAGAAAAATTCTTTGCCAAAAAAATAACGATAATTATTGAGTTCAATTGAATTTTTAAACCAACTACTGACGACCGGCAATTATACACCGAAGCAAATTTTTACTTTTCTCTTTGGGGTGACACGACAAAACTGCTGCTGAAATCTAGCAATAAAATGTCCTCATGAAAGCGCTTTAAACCGAAATTAAAGAATACAATGAACAATAGATTCAATGAATATTTAAAATTAGTTCCATTTATGATTTAATTCTCAGAATTGTTTTTTCATCACAGAAATTTTGAACATTTTGGGAGTTTCAACTTTGGCGTCGAATTCCAAAGACATGGGTAATGGTTCACGATTGGGACTATTTTTTAGTAGTGCCGTGATGTATTGAGAGTAGGCCCTACCGAAAATAATAAAGGTAAGTCCAATTATATAGGCCACGTAATTCAAAATGTCGACAAACATCGGTTTTTTGTATTCTTAGGTATACCGCGGAACCTGTAGGTGATGGAAAATAATTTTGAATGGGACTTTTTCTCAGGAGCACCCAAATATCATGGAAAACTTAAAATGGTTCGCGGAAATTTCACAAAGTTTAATTTTGTGTTCCTGTGTTATAGATGTTAAAAAAATCTGAGATTGAATCCAGACATTATGGGTTTAAAACAAGAATTTAACAAGAAAGGAAGCTAACTTCGGCACGCCGAAGTTTGTATACCCTTGCAGATTAGTTTTGATATTTATATTATAAATTATAATGCTGAAAACACACACAAAAAAGAGTTTCATTACATTTTACCTTTACTTATTATGTTTACAGTTTGACAGTTACAGTTATACATTCACAGCATTACATTTTCTCTACATCTACGGATCGCTTCTATGGCAGTTGTATGATATAGTTTTCCGATTTTCATAATATTGTTACAAAAATTCTGAAATACTACTAAAAGCTCATGTCTCAAATAGTTGAAAATACATTGAAAAACAACGAAGTTATAATTTTTTTCGATTAATTTCCCGATCGTTCCTATGGCAGCTATAAGATATAGTGGTCCGATTTTCATAAAATTTTTACCAAAATTCTGAAATAATACAAAATGGCTATATCTCAAGAATGATGAAATAATATTGAAAAACAAAGAAACAAAGTTATATTTTTTTTTCTAAAATTTGATAGAACATTTGTATGGCAGCTATATGATATAGTCGTCCGATCCGGCCCGTTCTGACATATATAGCAGTGAGAGTATATAGAAGACTATAGCAAAGTTTCATTCAGATAGCGACTAGTTTGCGTAGAAACGGACAGACGGACGGACAAACGGACAGACCGACATGGCTAGATTGACACGGCTGTTGATGCTGATCAAGAATATATATACTTTATAGGATCGGAAACGTCTCCTTCACTGCGTTGCAAACTTCTCACTGAAATTATAATACCCTGCAAGGTTATAAAAACTACACATTTTAAGACTATTCGAGATTCAATCAAAAATGTTAGGATTGAAATAATAAAGAATGCTGAAACTTAGTTTAAGAACATCTGATATTGGCCTAATTTGAATTCTTTTTAGGATTAAATTTTATAGCTTTATGTCGATCTATTTATTAAGTTATTTGTCAATGCCTTGATTCATATTTAGATAATAACCGTAGAAAGTGCTTGGAATACATAAAAATCTGAGAATTGGTTTTACATACCGTTTTATTTCCCAGATTTTTAATACGGCAATTTAGATGTCCTGTTTTACCGACTAATGATGTAACATTTTTAGTTGCAGAAGTATCAAAATAGGGACCTCTGTCTAAACTCCTACTCATTTGAAGAAAATACTCATCTGTTATATTAATTGTTTTAAAAGTTGTCACACTCTGAGCCGAACTCTGTGATACCGTGTTCCCCAAAAGTACTAAAATAAAAATAAAAATTAGTATTTAGAAGTGTGATTGGTGAAATACTTACAGATACAAATAAATGTCGGAAAAGTTAAAATATTATTCATTTTGAACTAACTTTTTATATATACATCGTACAATAAACAGGACTCTGTTTATTAAATACTTTGTTTCAATGTATTAAATACATATATGGCATGCGCACAACGCATGCGCATTATAATAGATACAACAAATAATTATAGACCTATGTGTGTATGTAAAATTCTTTTTTACAAGGATAAGTATAGACGTTAAATACATTAAAATTTAAACTAAACTAACTAAAAACAGGAAAAGAAAGCTAACTTCAGCACGCAGAAGTTCTTATACTCTTTGCAGTTTGTTATTGGATTATTAAAAATCGATTCATTCTGGTTACATTAATAGAAGATATAATAGGGAATTTATAAATGTTGTATATTTATTCATAGCATATAATAATAATAATTAAATAAAAAAGAGTTAAATTGTATAAATTAACTTTTTTTTAGATTTGAAACATTTAAAAAACGTTATACATTTAAAAAACGTTATACATAAAAACGCTGAAAATCAAAGTAATATCAAGTTTTATAGCATTTACCTATACTTATTCAGGCCTGTTCTAGTGTCCACTTTCGAAAAATCTACTCGGATTCGGATTTCCCTGACCTGGTCTAGTTTTTACTTCCAAAAAATCTCCACTGGTTCGTTTTTCTCTCTTTTAAGTCTCTGTTAACTTAAAAAAAATTTTTTTTCATATTTTTGGTTTATTTTGAATACGTTTTTATACGTTTGGGGAATTTCTAATAAACTAAAAAAATTTTTAATAACAAAATTTTAATAACAAAATGTTTTTTTCAAGTTATAATGAAAAAAGAAAATTTTTTTTCAGTGTTCAAAATGTTGGCATACCTTTGCAGGTATTCTAATTTACGTCAGAAGTTTGCAGTGTAGGAGACATTTCCGACCCTATAAAGTATATAAATATTCTTGATCAGCATCAACAGCCGAGTCGATCTAGCCATGTTTGTCTGTTTTTTCCCCGTTTCTTTTTTGGCTAAAGTCAAATTTTTGTATACCCTTGCAGGGTATTATAATTTCAGTCAGAAGTTTGCAACGCAGTGAAGGAGACGTTTCCGACCCTATAAAGTATATATATTCTTGATCAGCATCAACAGCCGAGTCGATCTAGCCATGTCCGTCTGTCCGTCTGTCTGTCTGTCCGTCTGTCCGTCTGTCTGTCTGTCCGTCTGTTTCTACGCAAACTAGTCCCTCAGTTTTAAAGCTATCTGAATGAAACTTTGCATATAGTCTTCTATATGCTCTCACTGCTATATATGTCGGAACGGGATCGGACGACTATATCATATAGCTGCCATACAAATGTTCGATATATTTGTAGAAAAAAAATTAGAACTTTGATGTTTTTCAACATTTTTGCACAATTTTTTAGATATGGCCATTCTATATTATTTTAGAATTTTGGTATAAATTTTATCAAAATCGGACGACTATATGATATAGCTGCCATAGGAACGATCGAGAAATAAATAGGAAAAAAAATTATAGTTTCGTTGTTTTTCAACGTATGTTTATCTACTCTGAGATATAAGCTTTTTTTATTATTCTAGAATTATGGTATAAATTTCATAAAAATCGGACAACTATATCATATAGCTGCCATATAAACCGATCGGTAGATGTAGAGAAAATGTAAAACTGGAAATGTAAAATTGTAACTGTCAAACTGTAAACATAATAAGTATAGGTAAAATGTAATGAAACTCTGTTTTGTGAGTGTTTTCAGCATTTAAATCTATAATATAAACATCGAAACCAATCTGCAAGGGTATACAAACTTCGGCGTGCCGAAGTTAGCTTCCTTTCTTGTTTTTTGTTAATATTAAAATTTTTATTTTTTATTTTTAATTTTTAAACACCCTAGACAGATTAAAAAAAATATTTAACTTTAACATGTGGAGCAATACTGTTCTGCTTTCGCGCTGTTGAAGTCGGCTAATTATGTACCACCTGTTTTGTATGAAATTGGGGGCAAAAATGTTGCGTCTTTGATTGTTTGTTTTGGCGAAAGCTTACACAAAATTGAAATGCATAAATATGGAAAATTACTGTCCAGGTATATAAAACTAAAGTTTACCAATGTTTGTGTCGTTGATATGTGTTTTTGTCCAATTGTGCGGTGTTTTGTTTAAGTGTATTTTTAGAACGACCAATTGTGCGGTGTTTTGTTTAAGTGTATTTTTAGAACGATCTTAAAAAGTGTAGTTGTGTTTCGTGGATCAGTACTTTTGCATGGCAAAGCGTTGCAAAAAGTTGTAAACGGGAAACTATTAACAAAAGTGTGCAGATTATAGATAAGACGCATCTGTTAAGCATTAAATAAATCTCTGCCGCAGTGCACGGTCTAGCACTTGTGTGCATAGCTATAAGAAACCGCCACTTGAGCCTATGTAACAAGTAACCCGAAATATGACCTCCTGTGAGCGGTCTGGGTTTGTTGAAGATATTTACGATCGGGTTGACATGTGCACACTTATTGCGCTTAGAATATTTCTCGCGATCGGAAACTGTCCGATGCGTGGGTCTAGAACTAAGATCTACAATGTACATTCTCATGTTAGCTATATAAGCTAGGGTTTGAATGAAATAAAATCAGTTTCTTACAAAAACTCAACTGATGAAGACTTCTTATTTATTTAGGGTCTTTCATTTTGGTCCTTCGACCGCTCCACATTGGGCCAGCGAACCGATATATCGACGAAAATTCAAATTTTTCATAGAAAGTAAACCTATTTTAATAATAAAATTTGAAAAGTATATACTTTGACTAAAATGAATCAAAAGATTTTAATTGTTTTGATGCATCCCGGAAATTTTGGCAGCCCTTCAAAGTCAACTCTTTGATTGCGTGCGTACGAAACTCAAAAACGCGAGAAAGATTTTGTTTACTTGCGAGTGCGACAAAATTGTTGTGCTTTAAGCTATTTTCACTAAAATTATGGAAAAGAAAGGGAAAGGTATGTAGAATATTCGTATTAAAAAAGATTTTGTTCATGTTTGTTAATGTGTTCTTTGTGTGCGTTTATTTGTGTTGTCCAAAAGTAGAAAAAAGCTAACCTGGTAACCCATCTGTTGTAGACTATAACTAATTTTGTGCCAACTTGTGCCAAAAAGTAACTATGTGCCATTAAAGTGCAAAGTGTATATAAACTAGTTTTATTAAGCTTTTTTGCATCTTTTTGCCCCTATATATATAAATTCGACATATTGTAGCTGTGTTTCAGATCACATATGAGCAACTGTTTGATGTCTATATAGAAAACAATCATAGAGCATCTGCCGTAACGAGTTGGATTTATGATGAACTGATAGAACTCGACTTAAGCACGGAGCAATAGTGATAGTGATTTAGATTCTGACTCTGAAAATCCGTTTTCAATAGAACTTGACGTAGAAGACGACTGTTAGGAACATTTTAAAATGAAAAATACTTATTTATATTCATTTTGAATGCATTGTTATTTTTTACTTATTAATATTAAGGTTAAGTGTTAAAAAAATGAATTTAAAACATTTGTTGAATTTAATTTATTTATTACCGTACAAATATCAATAAGAGGAAACCTATCATATATGGGCGGCTAGGGAAGGCGTGGTCTGATCGGTCTGAAACTTATATATGTTTTTATGTGAATCGACACTAATATATGTACCAAATTTGAAGAACCTAGCTTTAAAACTTTAATTTTCGTCGAACTATCGGCTCGCTGGCCCAATGTGCGCTCTGCAACTTTCCCCCCTGTGGTAAGAGGTTCACAGTTTTAAACCAGCACCTTAAAAGATTAAGGCTGCAAAAATAAAGATCTCTTGTTTCCCCCCACCCGTGGTAAGGAACAGAGAATAATATTATAAAACAAAAAAACACAAAAGAGTTTTTTATGTTTAAATTGAAGCACGATTTGGGCTTGACATAGCTAAAGGTTGCTGTAATACCATTGAAATATATGGTTAGGAGGCGTACTGAGGCCTTTTTTTGGAAAAAATAAAAGAAAAACATCAGTAGTGAATGTGCTAAAGAAAAAAGAAGTGCATTAAAATCAAAAAAAAAAAAAAAAAAAAAATTTTAATTGGAAAGAAAAATAAAAAGAACAAAATCTAACTCCCAGTGCTCGGCGGAAAAAGAAGAAAAGTGAAGCAGTGCAAAATCATTCAACAACGGCGGCAAATACATCCGCAGCAAAAAAATCCTACAACTGACAACAACGGCGGCAAATACAGCCGCAGCAGCAAAAAACTGACTACGGCGGCAACGACTACTGCGCAGCAGCGACTACGGCGGCAGCGACTACGACTACAGCGACTACGGCGGCAGCGACTACGGCGGCAGCAACTACAGCGGCAGCGGCAACCACGACAGCGGCAGAAAAAAATAAGACACAAATTTACTATTAGAATTATAAGTTAAAAAAAAAAATTTATTTATTTATTTATTTATTTAACAAATTAAGCTTAGCATACAATGGTAAACTTAATGTTAGATTACCGAGCACTGGCTGCTCGGCTACCTTCGACTCTGGCTGTGTTTGGTTTTACTTATTAGTTTATTAATTTAATAGCTAAATTTATTTACATTTATCTACATATTTTACAGTTTTGTGTTGATTATATTCGGAGCTTTGCTTTTTGGTTATGTTTCCTGCGGAAGGGCATCCTAGGGTTTGTGAAGGCAGCTGAGGCCCAAAAAAGGAGCCCCTAATGCTGGCCAGTCCAGGGCAATCGTTCAAAAGATGGTCGATGTTCGGGAGACCACCGCAGAGACTGCAACTTGAGTTGTTGTTTCCTTTTAATAAGTGCTCGTGGGTTTGTTGGGTGTGTCCTATGCGGAGACGGATAAAGGTGATGCACTGGTGCCTCCCGATCGCAGCTGGGAGAGGTATTTTGGTGCAAGTAGGGTTAAATGCCCAGTATCTGTCGTTAAAGGTGTTCCATTCATCTGTCCTTTGGGTTTCAAGGTAGCGGTTTATTAAGCTGTAGATGTCCTTGCAGTTTATGGGAGTAAATCTGAAGGTTGGTGAGAGGCCCATGTTGTGGGCTGCCAGGTCTGCGTTTTCGTTTCCTTGTATGCC